AATAAAATTCAGACTTTATTTAAGATAATTTACTGGAATAAACTTCATTAATTAACCACATAAAATGGTAACATAAATTTGAATTTAGTTTAAAAAATTGTATTTATTTATATGTCTGTTTTCTGCAGATGTTACTGAATCATATGACATCTGTTGGCTTCCCATATACAAATATAGTCAATTTACGTAATATTTACCGCTGCAAATCGTTAAAAATTGTGCTAGTTTTTAATCGATGTAAGATTATAATTTTTACATAGATATAAAATTAAAAAGTTCATAAAATAACTAGCAGGTAAGCCCGCGTTGTCCGGGCAAAAAATAAAAACAAACATTAAGATTATTTCGTACTTCTAACCCTTATATTATATTATTTAATTTATATAACTACAAAGGTTATCTTACGTAAGGATTTATCACTCCAAGTGAACAATCTAACATATTTAAAAATTTCTTTAAATTGTGTACAGAAGAGGAATAAAGAATTTTTAATTTATAATGTGTTAGATTGGTCACTCGGTGTGATAAAACCCTTACGTAAGATAATGTTTCTTGTTATATAAATCAAATACTATAATATAACAGACATTAAAAACGAAAACCGCATATAGATATTGGTTATTTTAGCCTACCATTGTCACGTTTATCGCGATACTCGGATGGTACGAAATAGCACAATTTCATTGATCAAATAGAAAGCAATTGAAAATTCGATATATTAAATTTTTAAGATATTATATATATATGTGTGTGTTTTTTTAATGTTAGCTGTAACAAACTATTTTATTCACAGCCAAATATTAAATGATAATCTACCAACGAATCAAATTTCACAAAAAATGGAGCAAATACTTAACCAGTATTTCCCAATTTTTTTTTGCCCTACCTAAGCCCTTCTAAAAGTCTTATGCCCTCCTAATATATACAGAGTCTATACGATTAACTTAAACTCTGGACGAGTCCATTTTCGAATTTCCTCCTTACAATCCAATTGCCCCCCTGTGGGGCGTGGGCCTCACGTTGAGAAACACTGACTTAAAATCATCATCCTGGAAAACCACTTATAACATATTTTCTGCTGGCCTGTAATCTCGTATTATGCAATTTTCATATTCGAATATCACCATACCGCTGGGTCAGATATGAAGAAGGGACTGTTGCGGAAGGGGGTTGAAGTTAATTCGACCAAAAGTAGTCGTTGACCTCCTTCCGGAAAAGAGGATGGTGAACGATAACTCATTAACACTAGTCTACCATAAATATTTGAAAAATGATTTGTGTTAGATAGGTTGCGGCGGCCCCGCATGTGATCAAATTTGCTAACCTTAGCGACCGAAAGTCTTCATATAAGACTTGTTTAAATAATAATAATAATAATAATAAAATCCATAAAAATGCAACAATTGTTGCTTTTATGTGATCCCATAAAAAAAAAAAAAACTGGTGAAACTAGGTTGGAAAAGTAAAGCTCAGTATGGTTTGGTTTATTTGGTTACGGCAACGCGACACGAGCGATCTGTCAAGAAGGATGCATCTGGGGAAGACTTATGAAAAGTTGTCCCCTATTTGGGTGCTACTAACGTGAAGAAAACCCAGAAAATTCTTCAGTCTGATGTCTGTCTAGATAGATGAATGCCGAGACCAGACATGGAAAGCTTAGGGGCAGGGGACCCCAATTAACTATATCCGAACTTCCGACGGAAATCGAAAGTCGTGTTATTTCAATTCAAAAATTTTGCTCTGAACGGAATTAGATACATAACCGGCACGGCTCTATTACTAACAAGAAAAGTATGATGTACAGAGGCAAAACACTGCACTCCACGCAGGCAAGTGCTATGTGCTAGCTGCCGCAGTAATGGCGTAATAGCGCGTCTATTTCGCGCTATATCATTGTCCCAGTAATTAGGTGAATATAATATATATATTTAAAATTATATCCCTTTTTGTAAGAATTATATTTACTTTATTAGTTTCTTAAATTTTTTGCCAGAGCTAGAAAATCGAATGTTGACAGAAATTAATCGATATGTACAAATTGATCAATATTTTGGTGTGAGATGTACGACGTGATTTAACTTGTAAGTTAGAAGTGTATGAACGTAACTTCAGAGGTTCGTAGCAATTGGTCGAACGGCCTAGGCGTGCTTAGCGAACAAACAAATAAACAAACATCTTCATTTATATATACCGGTACCTATAGGCCTATATAGATAATGAAATATAAAATTGAAATTTAATAATAACCGAAAAAATTATAAGCAATATAAATTTTATCTGAGTTGAACTTGTTCAAATATGTTTACATTTATATCCATACACCTTATAAAGTGTATTTATATTTAAACTTTGTATATTGCATTTAATTGTATATGGGTCTATATTTATATATAGATGTATAATTTTAACAATTTACTTATTTTATTAATAAAAATTAAAATAGCAGTTTTTCCCCACTGTATGTATGGGTGTTAATGTGTGGGGAAATGATTTCGTTCATCCATTTTGAAGCCTAATCCCATTACCAATACAGTATTAGCGTTTTTTATTTCATTTTTTGTAACTTTTGATAAACCAATTGAGTTTTAGTTTTCTAAATATTTTGCGTTATTAATAATAATTTTTATCGAAATTAGACCGAAAGATCTTTATATGTTATAGAGGTGAGGAAAGTAATATTTTTAAAACAGTTAATTACGTGTAATCCTTCTATTTTAGTAATTTTATGTAAATTCGAAGACGTAAAGATAACACAGGTCTGCAAGTAAAAAAACTGCATAGGATTTTATACATTTTCTTACAGATTTCAACTTGGTAAAAACAAAAAAAATACCAAAAAAATTCCATCTCGTCAATTTTTTTTCTTACACTCAAGTTTTTGTTTGTATTTAGCGTAAAATTGCTAGTTAACTTAAAATTTAGTATTCTTTTTAAAAAACTCCACCATACCTCTTAAAACAAAAAAAATACCAAAAAAATTCCATCTCGTCAATTTTTTTTCTTACACTCAAGTTTTTGTTTGTATTTAGCGTAAAATTCCTAATTAACTTAGAATTTACTATTCTTTTTTATTTATTTAAAAAATGGCCTTAAAACGAAGACTTCTCACATTAATTCTATCAATTATAGCTGGACTTGGTAATAAATAAATAAAAATATTAATGGTGAAGAGAGTAGTGGTAGGGGGAGGTGGGTTAAATAGTTTTAGCGTTAGGAGGAAGGTGGCATGATCGTATAGAAACAGGTTAAAAGTTGATAGTGAGTAATAATATTGGTGAGGTTGAGCATGTTTCGACATGTTATCTGGGATACTAGGAATAAATATAAACAACCTGCTGTCGGATTAGATCATGTTTCAACAAGCTAAATAAGTTCAGTATCTCGCTGGCCATCTAATGCCACGCTCAATTTATATCCAGCATTCGAACGCTACTGTACTTGTATTTTTATTTCTGGAATATGGCTCGCAGAGGTTGTGTAATTTCTCTCGACAGCTTCTGTTATGTTTGTGGTGAATACACAGTGAAAAGTCAACAAAGAAACATAAATGAGTTTGTGAAGAAAGTTTAATTTGCATGTTTCAAATTGAAACTTGGAGATGAAGACAAAGCAGATTTTTGGAAACAATGAGAAAAAGGAAAAAGAAGCATGAGACTCTTTTAAGAATGTAGTGCATAAGTTTTTGGGGAATACTAAGGATCCTAACTACAAAACCATTGTACAACGTATGCTGGCAGCAACGTATGAAGCTCAAGGATGCAAGATGAGCTTAAAAGTTCATTTCTTACACTCCCATATTGATTATTTTCCCGAAAACTTGGGAGCATACAATGAAGAACAGGGTGAAAGATTTCATCAGGATGTCCGTGATATCGAGAGACGTTACCAAGGAAAATGGGATGTCAATATGTTAGCTGACTACTGTTGGATACTTAATCGAGTAACCAGAGAAGGAAATCGGAAACGAGTTTGGAGAAGCATCAAAAAGAAGAAGAAAAGGTTTCATAAGAAAAAAGAGTAGACCTAAAATTGTGTATAAATATCAGAAATAATTTGTTGATTAGTTGTAAGAAATATAACATATTTAGTTCATTGTAATAAATAAGAGTTTTTATCAAAAATTTGTTTTTATTTTACAAAAACACTTTATATGATGGGATATAACGGAAGTCATTTTTAGAATCTGCAATCTTTAAAACATATAATTCAGCATAAATATTCCATGCAGCTGGAAAAAAAATTTTTTTGCAGACCTGTGTAATGATAGCAATTATCAGGAATAAAAACAAGTAAAGAATGCCGGAAAGTCTAGTAACATGTTGACAGTTTTTTTTTCTCATTAAGCTTTTTTCCATCTTAAAAATAACGAGAGAAATATAGTGAATCTCTAGAAAACATATATATCTTAATTTTTCTTTGATAGAAGTACGGATATTGCTACGTTGGCGTCTTAAATATTCACCGGCCGGATAGTTCAGACGATTAAGATATCAACGTATCACTATGGAGGATCTAGAACAAATTCGGGTGAAGGAATTTTTCATGGGCAATCTATCGCGGATATGTCGGGTCCGACCCTTACCACCAGGCTTCTTGTCTTGTCTTGTATCGGCGAGTTGGGCACAAACTTCTAGGCTATATCGCCCCGTGGTAAAGTTTCACGCAATTGTCATGTAATAATAGTTATATGAGTTTATGATGGTCGTTACGTGAGGATAATGCCTTCCGGGAGGTCTTTTAAGGGTAACTAACCCCTATTCAGACGTTACAAACGTGGAAAAAACCACGTGGCCGCGAAACTCCCGGTGTTCGGGGAACGGAACCGCTTGGCCACCGGTCGGTGGACACTACCAGGCTATCCCATTGCGGGACTGGCCGAACCCATAATACATATAGAAAAAAAAAAAGCTCTTAATTAATGACCAAGGAGCAGAAAGAGTTTATGAATGAAAAGAGATGTTAAAGGTTTTATTAAATGTTCGGTAAATTCATACATCAGAAAACAAATCCATCAAAGTCAACAGCGCCATCTACTTCGTAAAAATTGATTATAAACGAAAGAATACGAATTATTTTGAATTTGTTTCCGAATTAATATATATTTTTATATGAAAAATGAAATGGAATTATGTAAATATCTATAATAACCGTTGTATTACATATAGGTATGTATGGTACAGTATTAGAAAATCACGTGAAGTTTTAAGCTTAAATAATCAATTTCATAAGTAGAAGTTATGTTTAAGTGTATTTTATATATATATATAAATGAATGACCTAAAAGTAACTTTTACTTTGATCTGAATGGGCCAATGGATTCTGACAATAATATAAAATTATACTTGTATTATTATTTTATGCATAGGTGGTTTGAATGTAAACAAGAATAAACTGTTTATGCACTAAGAAAATAATAATTATAATAAATTGTTTTATCTAATTACAAGAATTTATTAAGAGTGTATCAATATTTTAAGACAAATCTGTGGGAATTTGGGTAGAAATGTTGAAGGATAAAGTTTTCAATCCATTTGATAAGAATCATTCAAAGAAAAAAAGGAATAATTAATTATAAATACCCAATTTAACCAGATTTAAATCAAATAAATTTTATATATAAAAAATAGCTACATAGAAAAGCTACATAAATACTACATAAAAAAATTGTTAAAATTTTTTCTGAATATACAAAATTTTCTGTGGTTTTTGTTGCATTTATAAAAAGTAAATGCAGTTTTTTAAAGTTTGGATATAATTCACTGATGAAAATTAAAAATTTCTTGTTAAATATTTAGAAAAGAAAGTGAGAAACTATAAAATGAGTAAAATTTCCATTTCTTTTAGGCGGGTTATTGGATATGATGCGACAAAAATAGGTTAAAATGTCCTAATTTTTTTTTCCAATTAATGATGTAGTAATCTGAAGTTGTCTGTAATAATAATTTTTCATTTATGACAGCTCTTAATTTGTAATGAGAATTTAATACATAAAATATTGCATTTATAATGTTTGAATATGAATATGTTAAGTTCAATTTTTATTTTTTTTCTTATTATTAATAATAATAAATTATTGGATAATCATTCTTGTTTAATTATTAAAATATTAACAACAGTCTTCTTCTCAGAAGTACTGGAATGAGAAATAAACAATCACAAACAAAACATTTTCTAACCAGTAATTGAACTTAAATGTAACTTCTGAACGTTTTTAAAATAGTAACAAAAAGTAAACATATGATTTAATTAATTTAGGAAGCTGAAAGTTATAATTGAGTTTTTAGATGGGATTATTGTGTGCATCAATTTTAATCATTAAATTTTATATATTACTAAAATATTTAATTGCAAGAAGAGAGAATTAGAAATGACACAATTAATTAAAAAATATATAGTCTAAACATATGTACTTAATAAAACAGTTGTATAAAGAAAATAAAGTATTTATTTGAAAAATTTTAATTTTAAAAACTTTTAATATTGTTACTAAACTTATCAGATGACTTAAACTATTCTATGCCAGGAAAATTTCTATTTTTACTGTTAAGTTAAATGTCAGCAAAGTTAGATCAAGAAATGTCATGTTTGTTTTTTATTTTTGTTTTTTGTACTTCATTTTTAATATAACTGAATTAGATTGTACAATACAATACAATAAAGTTTTTAAATAGATTTATATTTAATAATTTTAGCATTTAACTTTTCAAATTTGCATTTTATGCTTGTTTATTTTTTATTTATGATTTAGCAATTTTACATTTTTCAAATATTTATTAGTAATAGCATCAAATCTATATAGAATGTGTCTCATTGTATTATAATGATATGAAAATGAATAAATTTTTTAATCCATTAGCAATACAATTTAATATTAAAAAAAATCTTTCGCCTGTTTTGATATATTTTTGAAGCAGTCTTTAGATCTGTGCTGGAATCTCTTATCCTTTACAAATGAGAAATTGGAAGATCTGACTTCATAATTAACTCAGAAACATCAGGAACAAGAAGAGACTGATTATGATCTATAGAAAACTGTGATCTGCAGGAATTTCTGGCTGGAATTAATACTGTCTTCATCAGCTAGACAAAATTGATCCTGACTAGGAATGCAACTATTAAAATAGGAATTGTCACAGTAAATCCAGTCTTACTACTATGTTCTGTAGGAGAAAAATATTCAACCAAATGCTCTTTTTTTATTTTGTAAAGAAATCTGAAGCACCACCAGTTAATTGAAAGGCAGTAGATAATGTTCCAGTTAATTCTAATGATTCTATAGCAGAATCTTTTTTCTCATCAGTAATATTTATTTAGTTATAGTTCATTATAGAATATGATATAAATCTATATATATCATGTTTATGTTTAATATATAAATATTTTGTGTTATTAAAAAGAATCTAAATTTTGTTTACTTAGAACACATTTCATTGAAATACATTACAATTCGTCTTTTATATACTGTTTGATGTATGCCAGCACTATAATCCATTGTATAATGAGGCCTATTGTATTATAACAGTATGTGCATAAAGTTATGGTTTTGCATAATTAGAGATATGTCTGCTTTATATATTTTTAATGTTAATTAAAATTAAAATGAATTAATTGTAATTTTTGTTAATAAATGATTAAATAATTATTTATATTACATGAAACAGTTATTTTCATCATGGTACATGAAACAACAGAATATCGTAGAAAGTATCGTTGGAATTCGCCTCAAAAGCGACATCAAATTTGGAAAGAAAATTGGAATTTTCGAAAGGCAAGGAAATTGTTAGAATTTCAGCATGAACCATTTGATTCATGGAATGAAGAACAGTCCAGTGAATCATCTGTAACAGATGAAATTGCTAATGAGTTTCTCCCTCCTTCTAAATTAAAGCAAAAATATTTAGAAGTAATAAAAGAAACTACTAATCACTCAAAAATTCATATGATAGATAGAGGTAAGTATTTTAAAATATTATTAAATTAACTGTGATTGTTCCAATGAAATTTAATAAAACTAACTGGATTTAAAGTGATGATGTACTATATTTCTTATTTCAGGAAGTTAATTTCAGAGATTGATCAATATTAAATATTAATTTTTCAGTAGAAAAGATTTGATTTTTGTGTAATAAAATGTAATAAAATTTTTGTGTAATACAAATCAAATTAAAACATTTTAATGCTTTTATTTGATTTGTATAATTTTGGCTATATTGAAGATTATTATTTTCTCAATAGATGAATAAATCAAAACAGTGTATCAAAAACTTTATCATATATTCTATTTCATTTTATTTTTTATTAGCATGTTCTTAAAAATAACAAAATCAAAGTAACTTATAAATACAGTAATTTCAAATTTTAATTAATTAGATATATATTATTATTCACTTTAAAATAATATGGTTACTTAAAAAATTCAAATTCATTTATTGAAAATTTAAAAAACACTTTCATTTTAAAATTTGTATAAATTGCTTGTTTATGAATATTTTCTTAGAATTGTTAAAATATTTATAAATCAGTTTGTTGTTTATTTTTACAGCTACCTCTCCAGAATATTGTCCTTCTTTATCTGAATCTTTGCTTTCTGAAAAAAATAAATGTGATGTTGGTGTTCAGACACCAAACTGGGATGATCTTAAATATGAATCTGATAAAGATTCTGATAGAGAGATGTACATAGAAAATGATTTATTAGAAATTGCTAGAAGATTAAAAGAAGGAGTAATGTGCAATGTGAATACTTTGGATTTTATTAATCAAGTTATTAACAGAGGTAAGAATGAATATTCTTTGATTTATTGATGTATTTTAAATTAAAATTTACTGTAATTGCCTTATCAGATAAGATATAATCCATACTCTCATTGTAGGTACTGTACAATGTGACACTGATTTACAATTAATCAATGTATGAGAATTGATACAATGAACTAATTTTTGTAATTTTTCTTCCATATTTACAAGACAAAATAATTAATATAACCAGTATTTACAAGAAAATATTCTAATCCTTGAGTGTGACAAAATTGAAATTCCTTCACACTCCAATTAAGTGTTTCATAAGTTCCTTTCTCCATTTTCTGTTTTATTCACACAATGTATTTGTTTGTTATATGTAGTGCCATTCATTCTGATGCAGTTGTGAAGTTTAGTAAGATTTACATCTGCATTAGAAACCCTTCTGTCACTGATTTACAATTTTGTTTGAAAAAAAGAAATTTATCTTATTGTATTTTACTTGTTTTCTGCTTGTTTGTTGTCTTAACTAACTATTGTTTTCTTACTATTAAGTAAAGAAATGTCTGACAACTTATATTTGCTCATATTGTATTCACTTTTCTCATTTCATATTAGTTTCTTTTATATCAGCAAATAGCATAATTGGCAATTACATTTTATTTTACTTTATTTCGTGTCATTTAGAATTATTGGTTGATGGCAGTGCCATAATGGAAAACTATAGTGCAAATTTTTTGAAGGGCCACCTTTTACTTGTTATATGAGCAGATCTCAATATTAATATTTACTTAAACAAAAAATTTACTTTAAATTCAATTAAATTATTTACTGTATTTTTTAAAATTTCCTTTTTTTATTAAAGATATTCTGTTAGAAAATCTCATATAAATCTATATACTGTAGTTGAGTTATATTATTAAACTTAATGAATGTTTTGTCTGCATTCCAGTAAAACCACCATAGGCAAATATTTGTTTCATTTAGATAGTTAAGGAATACAGGTCTCCTGGAACTTACTTACTTATGAAGACAAAAGAAAACCATCTGTAGTAAGAACAGTTTAAGGTTTATAAGAAATGTAGAAAATGAAATTCTTCATAGAAATTTTTTGTTAAATCTTCCATATATTTTATTATGAACTTAAAACTTTCTCCTAGTTTTTTAACCCAAACATACTGGGCCACCCTACATTATATGGTTTGTGGGGACAATTGTTACAGCCCTGGTTGATAGGTAAATAGGTGTTTTGTAGCACTTTAATATTATTTGGAGAACACGGTTAAGGTGACTGGGTTATGCAGGAACAATGTGCAAATTTAGAGAATACGATGTAAACAGAGACAAGATTTTCCTTAGATTTTGATTTATGACAGGTTTCAGAATGAGATATGTTCATAAATTTAGGTTACAATATTAATCTAATTTTTTTCTATTATGTATACTTTGAAAACAAGTAATTTTTTTAACTTTTAAACTAGTTTTAATAAGTAATTTTTAAATCAAAATTATCAAATAAGTATGATAATTCTGCCCAATAGTGAGGAAGATGAAACAATTTAAATTTGTTTCAATGATTAGTCAGTAATTAATTTATGTGGGTTAATTAATCTAATAGTAGTTTGTCTTTCTAAATAAAAATTATCTATTCCTGAAAAGATATTTATCATTATATTTTTTTTACGTAACTTTAAGAAAGAAATGAGGTACTGTACAGTGAATTTTGTGAAATGTAATTGGATTGGACATAAAATTATGTCCAATACTTTTATCTGTTTTACTTTTGTTATCTTTTTTTACTTTTTACCCGTTTATAGTTGAATAAGGATGTAATTTTGAACATACCAAGAATGCATTAAAATCAGTGTTTAATGATATAATGCAATATTTTTAACGCATTATATTATTAAAGGATAATTACTCAATTGTGAATGAATCTTATAAATTTATAATAAACTTTGCAATTAAACTTTAGAATTACTTTAATTAAAATAATAATTAAAAACTATTGGGTATTTTTAAAAAAATATAATTTATTGATTTGTTTAAAAAAATAAATTTTATTATTATTAATGTTGACTTTTTAAAAATTTGTTAATTTTTAATGTTCACTTTTATAATTTAATTTATTGAGCATATTTACTTTTATCTTTAATAACAAAATATTACAATTTTTAATTTAAAGCAAGATCATCAAGTCCTCCTAGGAAGAAAGATACTAGAGATAGTTACAGTCATTTACTTAGAGATAAGCATCAGACTCATCAATCAAAATCTCCTATAAGTTTATGTAGTCAAATAAATAAGCAAAAAGACATATAATGTTAAGATATCAAAAAATGTGAGTATAACAATTCTTTTATTAAAAAAATTTATCAATATAGATTGTTCGGTTTAATAAACAGCTTCATTATTGAAATATTTTATTTGATTATATTACTACAATGTTATTAATTTTTGTTTTAATTATATAATTAAGTTTTCATTGGTATGATCTAATTAATGATGAAATAGTTATTTTATCATATTTTTTATTAATAAATTTTATAAATGATGTTACAAAAATAATTTTAAATGATTCATCAAAGAAATAGTCATTGCAATGAAGCTTGGTTCTAATGAACACAGATATAATGAGTTCATGATTATAAAGAAAATGCCATAACAGTTTTAATTTACATGTATTTCCATATATTTTCTCATGGTTATAAAGAGTGAATTTTGCAGATAAACCAAACAAATTTTTGGCAGCTATGCATTCCAAATTGTTCAAGTAGTAAAAAATGCAGTACTGAGTTTTTGGAAGAGATAAAACTGAAAGAGTTACTTAGTTTTATGACCTGCATGGATTATAGCCCTATTCCAGCCTAAGGGTTCATTTCTAACTACAGTGTATGGTAATTTTACAATCATAGCAATAATTAGGTAAATAAGCAGAGTAAGGCCAGAAGTTAGTCAACGAAGTGAGGGATGGTCTTCAAAAAGAAAGTTGTGATTAATTATGATTGTAAAATTACCATGTACTATAGTTAGAAATGAACCCTTCCATAAGAAATATGTCTTTGAAGAAAAGAAAATTTCTTTTGGTTTATGGAAAAGTAGAAATTATTCTTGAGTTAGAATATGGTACTAAAAATGTTGGTGTGTGTACAAAGTTTTCTTTGTCTTCTTCAACAGTATCAACATTACAGAAAAAGAAAGTAATCATCTATTTTAAGATTTGTGGATAATATGCTTAATTTCAGTTAGTCTTTTTATTAATTAGTATTATCTTTAATTACAAAAAAAGAAATTTGTTTAATATTAATTATATTGTAGTTTATATAACTATTAATAAAAAATACAGTATTGCCAGTGATGTAGCTACAAATTTTGCTGCCCATGGTACACCATCTACATGTTTGCACCCGAAGCAGCTACTCCTCCCTCTAGTTACGTCACTGCTCTCCATGGATATAATGAGGAAATCTTGCTGGCCCCCTAGTGCTTGTTATAACTAAGTTCAACTATATTTTATTTTTATGATAACTTAGACACAGCTGCTCTTTAAAATACAGTATATACATATATTTTATTTTCTTTTGAATTTATAAATATAATGGCTAAAGCCTGTGAATCAGATAAAGTTTAGAATAACTGGATAATGATAACTTTATCCAAGTCTTTTGATTAAGCAAGTAATAATTTATTGGGCTGCAGTTTTAAAATTGCAAACCTATAAATTTCCACTGGCATCCATCCATCTGTCTGCTGTCTGTCTGTCTATTCTACCTTAATCTTGAAAATGGAGTTATATAGATGAAAGTCAAGATCAAATATGAAAAGCTTAGGGACGAGAGATTTTGATTAACTATACAGTCGACCCCCCCTATAAGATCATAGATACGTTCCATTCTTTAGGAATCCGATTTCTTACGAGTCCTTCCAATCACAGCCCGACACATGAGAAGTTTACGGACTACGGCTGTTTGAAAGGTTTTCTTCCATAAAAATAATCGATTGTAGACTAATCCGACTCAACATTTCCAAAATACGTATATTTTTTTTGGGAATAATTCGTATAAACTACGCTATAAACAAAAAATTGTAGGATTACTTACCGAGAGTGCACCATTCGACATCGCCATTGCTCAAGCTTGTTTTCGTCGCGAAGCAGCACACCAAACTGCGGCCGATTTCTGATAACTTATTTTTATGTGAAAACTTCGTTGAACTTTGGAGACATCATTAATATAAATAATTTTAATCGCCGTTGAATAAGAAATGTTTCTTTCACAAGAAATGTATAAAATTACAGTACTGTATTAGACTTACGGTACCTAATTTACATACTGTACAGACGATAGTACGCCTAAACTCTCCGTAGCGTGGCGCCAGGTGGTGGAAAGCATATATATATAATTATAATAAAGTTACAATAAATTAAGTTAATATATAATTATATATACAGTACCTAATTTATATATAATTTATATAGAATTATACATACAGACAAAACTAAACTCAATTTACCCGCCTAAATGTTTGTAGCATGGTGCTACGGATGGCGGGAAAGTAGTTTGGCTGCCCGATGACGTTTTACATAATTATAGGAGTTTTTTTACCTTTTTTTTACAGATACCGTTGCAATTTTTTCGCCGTTTTATAGGAATCGTAATTATAGGAACTGTAATTATAGGGAGGTCTACTGTATATGAATTTTCAATTTGGATCAGAAGTCATGTTATTTCAGTTCAAAAATTTTCTCCAGAACAGAGTTAAATACAGTAGATGACTGGCATGACTACTGAAATCAGTAGCATTGTGCATCAAAATCTAAAAAATTGCAGCCCAGCATTTTGACAATGTTACAACAAATAATTGCTTGTTCGTTTTGAACTTTATCCATATAAAGCATGTTTTATCCAAGTTATAAGAAGATAAAGCTGACATTAGCAAAAGATTCTTGAATGAAGCAAGAAAAAAAAATGTAAAATTTAACCTTTATCTGGATAATGTAGTCCCTCTTTATTGTTGTTTGGATAGAAATGAATATATATTTTATACGGGTATGAGCATTGTGTTTTTTTTTTTTTTTTTAACCATTATGTGGATAGTAGGAACAGAGCAATGTTGCCAGGCCTAGCAATTTAATGTCAGATTTCAAGCCAATTGGCAATATGATGATGATTCTTTCAATCTGGTGATTTTTTTTCATGTCTAAGATAAACTTTTTAAAAAACAGTGTAAACTCCAGGACTACATTATACAAGGGATGATCAAAAACTAAGGTTACAAAGCCTGCAGTGAAAAGTGTACATTTTATTTCACACAACCAACACAGCCAACTGATAGTACATGCATCAGGTTAATTTTCGACATAGTCTCCATATCAGTTTAGGCACTTGTCACTTCGTGTGATGAGTTTGAAAATTCCCTCCTGGTAAAAATCCTGTCCTTGCATGTTCAGCCAAGTTGTCATGAAGTGTTTCACTTCCTTGTCTGAAGCGAATCATCATCCTGTTAGGTTCTCCTTCAAGTGAGTAAACAGGTGAAAATCACTTGGAGCGAGGTCTGGGCTGTAGGGAGGGGGTTGATGATGTCCCAGTGAAACTGCTTCAACAGCATGGTGGTCTTCTGGGCTGTATGAGGTCACACATTGTCATGAAGGAAGATGACACCCTCAGTGAGAAGTCCTGGTCGTTTCCTCATTATTGCTTCGCGCAATCATGTCAAGGTCTCGCAGTATAGGTCAGCAGTCACTGTGTGCCCTCTTTCCAAAAACTCCACAAATATGACATCCACACTGTCCCAGAACATTGTGGCTATCACCTTCCTGGCAGGTGACATTACCTTAAACTTCTTTGTCTTTGGAGAGGAAGTGTGTTTCCACTCCATTGATGACCGCTTATTGCCAGGGGTATAGTGGTGGATCCATGTTTCGTCACCCATGACAATATGGTGAAGAAAACTGTTCCCTTTCGTGGAGAACCGTAGCAAAAGTTGCAGACTTTTCCCCAAGCACTTCTTGTGTTGGTTGGACAGATTTCATGGAATCCAACAGGCACAAACTTTCCAGTACTGCAGAATATTGTGAACAATGTGACGAATGCTTCTGAACAACATTCCCAATTTTACCGTCATACGCCGTAACGTGATCCTCCTGTTGTCCTGAATCAGCTCTTCCATGTGAGCTGTGTTGACATATGTTGATGCCGTGCTGGGTCAGCCACTGCAATCCTCATTGGTGACGTTTTCTATACCGGCCACAAACTTCTGACACCATTCTGCGACATGCTGACGAGACATTGCAGTCTCTCCATAAACCTCTACCAGCTGCCAGTGAATTTCAGCCATGGTTACATGTTTTGCCCATAGAAAGCGAATAACTGAGCGGATTTCTTTGCGAGACCAGTTTTCCAAACAAGTCTCCATTTGTGTTTATCTACAACTAGCGCTGTAGGTGGCAGGTGGCTGAAATTCTGCACAGTTGCCAACCGCATCTATTGGAATTACCGCACACTTCTCACTTCTCTATAACAAACGAAACTCCAGGAATATCGGCCTTGTAACCTTAATTTTTGATCAACCCTCGTGTTAATAAATACAATTAAAGACAAACACAAAAATAGATGTTTTAAAAGTCCTTTTTAAACCCACCCAAGATTACATAAAAATATGCTTAGACACTTTTTATTTGAGGCTTTATCCCCCCTTCTCAATTGTATTTATTTCTATAATCAACCTGTGGTATGTTTCATTTAAGGTCTATGTACAGTACGTATTGGTAGTCTATAAGTCAAAGTATCTCATTTTGATACTTTAAAGCTAAATCTACAATTTTTAGCTTTAAAGTTATGGTTTTTTAGCTAATTCTGGTGCCATTTTGGCTGGAAATATTTATTTTCATTTACTTCATTTTTATGCAATACATTCTAGTTGCTTTTAAAATCAAAATTTCTTCTTTATTCATTCAATTTGAATTTGAAAAAATAAGTATCTGGCTAGAAGGAAAAACTTAAATTTTCTTTTCACTTTATTTAAAATAGGTTGGAGAAAGTTCAGTTTTTAAGCTTTATTCTTGCTTCATCCATTTTTGGATAATGTCAACTTTATGCTCTTATGACTTGGATATGGATAAAGTTCAAATGAATAAATTGTTACTTGCTTTAACCAAAAGACTTGGATAAAGTTAGCATTAGCTTGTTAATTCTAACTTTATCTGATTCATGGGCTTTAGCCATAACATATTTATATTACTAGATGTTACTTATATCAATTAGCATTATATAAATTACTATATTTATGAATTGTTTTGCTCTATGCAAAGTTNCATGCACTATATTAAATCATAAGTTATATACAGGTATACCTTGCCTTAAGATGGTAATTGGTTCCAGGAGAGGCGACTTAAGTCGAAAAATGACATAAGTCAAATTTACTTGTCTCCAAATCTACTTGTCACTAGACTAAACCACAAATACCATTCTGTATTTTATTTATAAATGCATTTTTAATAATATATGATTAATAAGAATCTATTTTAAGCTTACAAACAAATAAATTTTAGTTTTTAATATAGTACAGGAAAAAAGTAATCTAAATTTACGAATACATGTACGGTATGTACATACTTGTAAATATACATGTTTACAATTTGGCGTACATCGCGGACTCTTCATTTGTGAATGTGGTTTGCTCTAAGACATTATAAAATTAGATGATTTTGTAAGGTTAAATAACAAATACAGTTATTAAAATTATTTTGCGATAGTAAAAAATAAACTAATTTATGTTAAATTTACCAATGAGTAGAACTGACAATGACACCAAACAGTAGATATTGGAACTACCATGGAAAACGCCAATATTGAGCTCTTAAAGACCGCTAAATAAGATGACAACACAAAGTCACAGATGTTTTCATATTTTGCTCTCTATGATTTATGATGATTTTGTTAACATTTACTGTAAATGTATGCATTTTAATATGATTTTATGTGCTTTTAACACTTTTCTAGTGATATTACGATTTCAATATTTGTGGTGGACAGATGTAAAGTCGAATAAAATGACTTAAACTTGATTTTTATTTTTCCATATATTTTTTTGACAAACAATGTGTAATCGAGAATGATGTAACTTGAGATATACCTGTATACAGTTGAATCTGTCTATCTCAAATCCCATGGGAATGAGGAAAAAAATTTCAGATAAACAAGTTTTAAGATTTATTGTTTACTGTGTAGAAACCTCTATTAGTTTAATAGATTTGATTGGAGGTATGGTATTTTATTAATACATAGCGAGTACAGTATGCACTTATAAAACATTTTTGACATACCTTAACAGAAACAGTTTACCAGTAGTTTCTAATGCCTGACTTTCTTCAACCAATAAGACATAAACCAAATTTGTAACCAATCAGAGAAAAACAGCTTTAGTTGCAACTATGTACTGTATTTCAAGAGATTTTTCTCAATTGTAATTTATTCTATCAAAATGTAGTTGCTGAGCTTTGAATTTGTAATTGACACTTCAGTCCATAATTTGAGATAGAGGTTTTGGAAGAAAATTATTTAAGATAAACATGGAAAATATATTGAATTTAGGGTGAAAATGCAGGAGAAGAAATAAATTTTAAGATAGAGGTGTTTGAAACAGACAAGTTCAACTGTATATATTGTAGAGGCTTTGTAAAACTGATTTTACTTACAAATTTTTAAAGTGAATGTAGATTGAAAAGTATTGCAAGATTTAAAAAAAAAAAACAAATCAGGAATATATTTTTTACAAATCAATTGCTTACAGAATTTATCAAAGGCTTATGAAATAATCTTTAATAATACATAACATTGCATTATTAGTATATATTTTTTATTTCAATGGAGAAACATATCTTGATATTCCATCAAAATGTATTTCATTGAACAAATGTTTTTGGTCATTATTTAAGATCACATATCCAAGATTTTGAGATTGCTGTATTTTCTGCTTAATTTTAAATCATGTCAAATACTAAAGATGAATTATTCATGTTTTTAATTTTCAGATACATAGTTCAACTTTGAAAACTCAGAGACAGAAGTTAGTTGATACATCAAAACTTTCACGACAAAAACTGCCTGAAACAAAAGAAATGCCATATAAACGTGAAGGGCATCGTGTTATCAATGACTTGAAAAATTATGTAGAGAGTGCTACAAAATGGCTTTGTGAATATGATAACAGATATCAGTATGGACCACGTCACACTAGAATTTAAATATATAAAATTTTCTTCTTTTAATGTGAACCTACCTAATGCAATATTTCATAAAAAAACAAGAAACAATATATTTTAGTTAAATACATTATTAATTATACTAAACTACTGTAGTTCCAAATTAAAATAATAAGTATTATTTACAATTATAAAAGTTTGTAATTTTACAATTTTAATGTATTATATAAATGATCCTATTCATTTTATATATTTATCTTTAATCTAGTTTTGAAATTTTTGCACATTGAAAAATGGATAAGTAATAAAAATTATGGTTCCAAAATCAAACAAAATCACTGCCACTCCACTGTGTCTTATTTTTTATACATTTACTAAATATATATGCATTTATGTATATATTTGTATTTAATGTTTATCAGCCAATCTCAAAATATGTAAATTAAAATGGACTAATCTTTGTTAAATTTGATCAATTAAAATGTTTAAAGTAAACATAATTAATGTTTTAATTGATGATTGTAATTTTGTCACTTTAGAAATATTTGAATATGGTTTGTAATATAATAAAAATATAAATTATTGGGATGGAAATAATATATTTTTGAATATGCTTGTTTATTTAATTCATAATCCTTGGAGGAAATAATTTTTGAATAGTAATATACTGTATTATTATAGTATTTTATTTTTGTTATCATATTTTAATTTGTGATTATTTATATATTGTTTTATAAAATTTGAAAATGTAAAATGTGTATTAAAAAGTTTAAGATGAATTTATGGGATTCTATGTTCCTTCTGAGAATTCCATAGAATTCATAAATAAATATAGCCAAAATTGGACACTTTGATCTGGTCTTAAGTTATCTGATCACTTTCTTACTATTTATTTGATATGTAAATATATAAGTTATTATGATATATTAAGAATTTATCAGTGTTTTTACAATATTGTCTTTCTCAATATATTTATTAACATTGCTATACTTTTTTTTCTTGCTTTCTAAGAAAAATTCACCAAATTATTGATAAGATACTTTTAAATCAAACAAAGAATAAAGCAAACTTATGTAATTATACCAATTAGAGGGGAAAATTTTACTCACTTGTTCAGGATGGTGTAGGGCCCTCGCATATGTGGGTGTCAATGATGGAGGCAAAGAAACAAGTGTTGACATAAAACTGTTTATTTGGGTGAAAATTATGCTTACATCAGGAATATAAATCCAAATGACAAATTGAAGTCTTGATGTAGTTGGTCTTGATTCGTTCAATTTGATGCTCGGCTGGGTAACCCCGGGGTAGTGGTGAGTTGGTTAGGATTCCAAAACGACAACTTCAGAGTGTTCATACGGAAAAAGTTGAAGACAATGACGAGGATGAGAACAAACTTCTGTCCTTCCACTCAGAGAGTTTTATATCTTCCTTCCCCCTTTTCTTCTTTTCATTTGTCAGGCTTTCCCTTCCTTGCTCCCCTATTGGTCTCTTACCTGTCTCCAGGCAGAATTTGAGACCAGTTTGGGTCGCAAGAAACGTCTACCCATGATGATTTATCCGACACCATCCTTTCAATGCTGATCACAATTTACTGATCATTAATACACCTGCGCTCATATTTTATCTTGTCATTTCCTTTTTGTGTTTTAAGTTTAAACAACCCTTTTTTCTATTTCTTTTGTTCATTAATTCGTCTTTTCTCTATTATATGTGAGCGATGATGTCAAAGTTTGGTGTCATCGGCTCGACATTTTGGTTATTTGTTTTCTCATTGCATTAATAATTTATTAAAATATATCTTTTTTCTTTTTAAAATGTGAACTATTTCTGGAGCCTCATACTTAGAATGTTTCCTATTTTTGTTAGATTTTATCTAAATGTAATCAATTTTTTTAAAGCCTCAACAAAAGCAATATAGTGGAATCCTGTTAATCCGGATCTCCAGTTTATTTGGAATAATAAATACAGATAGACATATGGAAAACCTATATACATGAAAAAAATCAAAGAACTAACTTGTAAGAACTACATTCTTGCCTGAGTATAGTGTTACCACCTGTCCGATTTTCATCTGGACAGTCCGGGAATCAACTCACTGTCCGGGTGAACTATTAATTTTGTCCGGGAATATCGTGTGCAACCTGTCAACCTTTTTTTTTTCTCTCATACAATTCCAATAGAGCTAAGTCATCTGTAGTTGATTTTTCTTAATTTAGTTACTTATGCTACTCCTACCCAAGTGTCCCTAGTTCCTAACTATAACTGATTTAGAACCAGCATGCACTGCACGTTATTCTTTGCATTGCAAAATGACATTGCATATGCGTCAGGAACTTCTGTTCAAAAAAAACTCACCTGCCGTCCAGGTCAGCGGTTTTGAAAAGGTGGCAACACTACCTGAGTATAATGTTGCATCTGTAAGAATACTGTTTTTACTTGGCTCAGTGCTAACACCTGCGACTTTATAACTAAGAATCTGGTAATAAAAATAAATACAAGACAGTATATCACAGTTACTTTGGTTCAAATAAGTTCTTTGGTTTCCCTACAGAGTGCTAAGCCTAATTACCTGTTGACCTTGAAAAATATCAAAGTTCTACCACACAGAAATGGTCAGGAAACGTATGTACTGTACATTATATTTTATTTATTGTGCATTAAATATACTTTTACAACAGTATTAACAGTACAAAGGAAAATCTTTAAACAGTTATGTTAAATATGAGAAGTACTGAACATTCTGTATAAATTATTTTTTTGTCCAAACTAGCTTGAATGTAATGCTAAACATTATTTTTTCCTGCTCTGTGAATACAGTCTTGTGAATACAAGTTAATGATTATATTGTCGGTACTACAGAATATAGTTTGAATACCACTATTCTAATATAATTGGCAATTCTTACTGTATCATCACAATGATTACCTACATTAGTGGCTAAAAGTATTGCAAGAAACCAGCATATTTATTTACCAACACAAACTTGATCACTGCAGCAAGCTTGTAATCACTTTTCTTAGAAACTTCGTTGCAGGTACTTACACAAAAAGCACTTTGATATCCAAAGTCGCCGAATTTTTCATTCACTGATTTTCCTAAAAATTATATTACTGTCAGATGCAAAATACAGATTGGACCAATTTTGACATTTTTACTTACATTTATTTTAATTTTTTCTAAATAGTAAATTCATTTACAATCTATATTTCCATATAAATAATTATATTTTAGCTCATTTGTGGCACAATGCGGCAACAGGCTGGATCTAGCCTGCGGGCCGTAGTTTGGTGACCCATGTTCTAGATCTCATGACCTCACAATTGTCCTATTCTTCATTAAAATGTAATTTCAGAAAATCTTTATTAACTTGCACTAAAAACTCTCCATGGCTCAGAAAATTGCGGCATTATTAAAGACAGAAATGGGCATATTGATTATGAATTAATTTGTATCTATATAATTGGTGTGTAAATCCTTTTTTCGATAATAATGTGATTAGTACTTATCTCACTTGTATTTGGTATAAGCTATATGATGTTGATTTGCAATTCTATTCCATAACTCAACCAAGTCACACAAAGAATTTTCTTATAATACTTTTGGTCTCTAGTGTATCTTATGTTCAAAGCAATGAAATCAAAATCCAGAGTAATTTTGCGAAGTCAAGAGTCAATAAAAATGTACAAACTTCAGCCTTCATATAACAATCATAAAATTCTATTTTAAAATTTTTATACTGTGTGATTTTCTCTAAGAATAGTATTAAATTGGGGTGCAATTTGAAAAAATTGTAGACCTATAAATTCCCATTGTCGTCCGTCCGTTTGCCTGTCCTTCCTTAATCTCGAGAACGATACATGAAAATGAAGACCAAATATAGAAAGCTTAGGACAGGCTGTCCCGATTAACTATACATACTTCAAAAAGTTCTCACCCGAAAGGAGTTAGATAATGACCGGCAGGATACTGTTGATTATTATATTTACAGTGTGAAAAATTATATTTTTTAGTGCCCTAAGAATGTGCCAGCCCACGTGCATGCACGTACTGTACTGCATACCTACCAAAACCGGTATTGGTCACATTGTTTCACCACTTGGCTGCAGTGGCATAGCTAGCGGTGGGCTGAGGAGCGATCTTTCTTGGGAGGCATTTTTGGAATTAAAAAATTTTCAAACACTCTTTAATAAGAAAAAGTAAAATTATCAACTTTTTCGAGAATTAATAATTACAAAAATTAAATGACTGTCATTGAAAAAATGTTGTCTAAGTGGGTTTGTAGATACAGGGTGATTCAAAAGTCACAGAAATTTTAAAAAATTAATAACTCATAAACTATTTAGTAAGATGATGCAGTTTTCACATAAATGCTTAGAAAGAAGTTGGAATTTTTTATGTATAATAAAAATTTAGTATTAAAATAGTTACATTTCTTGCCATAGATGGCGTTGTAGAAAATTGAAAACATTTGTAATTTCTTAAACTAAGAATAAAAATTAAAAATGTTCTTATTGTAAGCTCTAGTAACAACAACAAAAATTATTTAATCTTATCAAGCGTCATCTATGGCAAGAAGTGTAACTATTTTGGTACGAAAATTTTTATTACACCTAAAAACATCCCGCTTCTTACTAAGCATTTCTGTAAAAACTGCATCGTTTTACTGTAAATAGTTTGTGAGTTATTAATTTTTTTTAAATTTCTGTGACTTTTGAATCATCCTGTAGATATTCTGTATTTCTCAAAGAAGGGGCAGCAATTGACAGACCTCTCCGATCAGCTTATGGTCGAGATTCCTCTACGGCATTGCTTGGCTGTTTGTTATACAGTAGTCTATTCGAACGTATAACGAATATTTTAAAATGTTGTTTAGTGTTCATAAAGCGGAAAAATAAAAATAAAAACACATTAAACTTCTGTGGTCCGGTGAAATTCCATTTCGGATCATTCAAGACTGACTCTACTACGTACAGTACAGAAACAATTATAGCAAAGGAAATGAAAAGCTTATTTCCAAAGTGATGTATCTCCAGGAAATACAAATTTTCAAAAACCGCAAATTTTAAATAATTGCTTTAAATGTTAAGGTAAAAACTTAACAGTGAGAAAGTTATAGGTTTAACAGTGAAAAAAATCCTGAGGCAATGGAAATGGTAGTTTTAGTACTTCAAATCATGGACTTACTTTGGAATAAAATTGCATCATTTAAAGGGATAATGTAATAAAAACAACAAATAGGTGGTCAAAAACTTAATATAAAAAAAACAAAAGAGAATATACAAAATACGATACTAAACAAAAATGAAGATCACACAAACCTTGTTCATACGACTGAAGATAATAAAAAAACAGTGTTTAAAAAACTATACTAATTCTAGAAGAAATAAAAACGTTAATGATTACATAAAATTACATAAAACTATACTAGTTCTAGAAGAAAGAAAAAAGTTAATGATTACATAAAATTCAGTGACTTTATTCGTTTCGTACAGGAAATTTATAGGTTTTGGATGTGTTATTGTTACATAAAATTAATAAAAATCATATTGTAATTGTTTTGTCACAGTACCTATTTAGAGCGGCCGGATGGCCGAGCAGTCAAGATGGCAGCCTACCGCTCTGAGGGACCTGGGCTCGAATCCGAACGAGGTCGAAAAATCCCCAGGAATTTTTCGGGAGTTGTTTTTTTTTTAATTATTACTTTTTCCGCCCTGTGGGCACTAAGATGGCCTCTTTTTGCAAGCCCATTATGGGTTCGGCCAGGCCCACAATGGGGCTGCCGGGTGATGAGGGGCGGGGCCCGACATATCTGAACGGACCACCCCCGAAAAATTCCTGGGGATTTTTTCGACCCGTTCGGATCCGAACCCGGGTCCCCCAGAGCGGTAGGCTGCCACCTTGACCGCTCGGCCATCCGGCCGCTCGGGGGGTGGTTTGTTCGGATATGTCAGACCCCGCCCCTCACCACCTAGCAGCCCCATTGTGGGCCTGGCCAAATCCATAATGGGCTTGCAAAAAGAGGCCCTGTTAGTGCCCACAGGGCGAAAAAAAATTAAAAAAAAACTGGAATATATTTTTAATCATCGAGATAATGAATGATTTCTGAACTATAAATTGAATACTTTAATTCAGGGGTGGCGCATGCGCCAAACTTGGCGCATTGGACTATTACAAATGGCGCTTCAGTCGGTTCCGAGCCACATTGCCAGATTTGGCTTCATTGCAATTATGAATATTACATAGAAAATTAATATTTTCGTTACATCGTGATATTTCGTTACACGAATGCATCGTGTACGTTACACGATGCATTCGTGTTCGCATACACTACTGATGTCATATAGAACTATTTTATACGGGTAGCTACACTACAACCGCATTTTTCATTGCTTGTTCTTGTTCTGTGGCATATCTGAATTTTCGTCTTATAAATTGAAATACCTAATTAACGGGTGGCCGAAATTTTTCTCCGCCCCGGGCTGCTAACACTCACGGTATGCCACTGCGCATCTGAACTCGCCTATAAAAAAAATTGGCGCATGGTATGCAAAAGGTTGGCCACCCCTGCTTTAATTTATTTCTTGCCCTATTTATTAAATTTATGTTTACATACAAAGTAATCAAATGTTTTATTTGAAAGTTCACATTTAATTGTCAAGGTAAAAAGAGGTTGTTGGTCGAGGCAGTCGTTGGCGTTCAATGTCAACTTAATTTTGCTACCCATGTGCATCTTCCTTTAAAAAATTCAAACATTGGCATTCATAGATCGGGGAAACAAAACACTTGCCTCTTCTCGGAATCGAGTAAAAAATTTCACAAATTATAATCGTAAAAGTGATTGGGATATGTAACCTTACACCCTTAACCATGGGACGCTTTGTTTTAAAAATCTTCAAAACATTAAATAATTAATTAAACTTGGTCCGTAGAAAATTTACCAGGGAGCATAGCTTGGAGGCAAATAATTACATCAATAAATAAAAATTTATTGATGTAATTATTTGCCTCCAAGCTATGCTCCCTGGTAAATTTTCTACGGACGCCCATGATATCAATCCTAGCAATTTTTTTCCATCATTGTTGGAACAGTTTTAAAAATAAAATATATATATATTTTCTTCTATATTTTAATTAAATGTATTTTTGTCCCTGGCAAAGTAAAAAATATATGTATTGCATATTCTTGTTTTCACTGGAAAGCGCTCCGGTATTTTTCGGGAAAAACTCATTTTAGCCCAGATTTTATCTCTAAGTACTTGACAACCCTACATTTATTTAAAAAGTAAAAAGAAAAAATCAACACTGTTTTCGAAATTGAAGAGCTTATTTCCAGAATGATGTATCTTCATTTTTTATTTATATTTTAGTTCTTAGGACCAACACATTAAATTAATAATATGCTTCTCTATAGTTCTACAATCTCTTTTTTCCGAAATGGGTGTTTTTCTGTTGAAAAATGTATAAAAAAAGATTGGTTTTTTTTCAAATGTGACATTTTTCGTCTTGTTTTAATTTTCAAACTGTCGCATTTCCATAACAGCCAATTACAAAGTGCATATTGGTCACGTGACTATTATTCCACAATAATTACTGCTTTCTGAAGTGCAAGTGCTATTGTGTTTGATTATTTTCTTATTTTTTCTTTCATAATGTCCACATTTTCTGAAGAAGTTCGAAAAGTATTTAGTCGATATGCTAGAAAGAGGTCTCGTCCTTATTTTGTAAAAATTTTCGTAAGAAAAATCCAAACATCAAGAAAATTTATTTGTTTTGTGATGGATGCAGTGCACAAAAAAAAATTACACATTATTAATAATGGTAAATAAACTTTCAGATATATATAGTTTAATTTTTGAGATTACATATCCTGTGCGGGGTCACAGTCATAGGACCTTTGAAAGGGTAGAAAAAAATGTTAAGAAAAACTGAACTGCTTCTTTTACCATAAAACTATCAATACAATAAAATTTTTGAGCATATAGGACAAATACATGTTCTTGGTAAAGACTGGAAACTTGATAATTGGAAACTCACAATTAATTTACACATTAAGTCAAAAATGGATTTTAAAGTATCTGAAATAAAAGTAATCAAAATAAACCTTAAATATGTTTGTTGCAAACAACACTATTCTGACAGATCGGGGATGTGCAAACATACAATGCTAAAAAGAGGTAAAAAATAGTTATGTCTATTAGTTGATTTGTTTCCATTGGGAAATAAACTTAAGCAGAAAAAGATAGATGATGCGAAGAAACTTTTAAATAAACCGGGAATAAGTGATGGGCATGATGCAATGACATTTTACAAAAGTGTTTTCTTGTTTAGAAACTAATTTATTCTAAATAGGTACTTTTTTTAATTAATATGCATCTATGTCCTTAATTTAATCAAAATTATTCTTTTAATCACTATATCAGTGTATTTCTATTAATAGGACTTATCATACTGTTTTATTTTCAATTTTCAATAGGACTTATCATAAATTGTTTTATTTTCAATTACCTGTAATTGAATAAAATTTTAATCTGTGTAACTGTGAGTCTGCAATCTTGTACACCAGTATGATAAGTCCTATTAATAGAAATACACTGATATAGTGATTAAAAGAATAATTTTGAGGTACTTTTTTTTAACTCTTTCCGCCCTGTGGGCACTAAGAGAGCCTCGATTTGCAAGCCCATTATGGGTTCGGCCAGGCCCACAATGGTGCTGCCGGATGGTAAGGGACGAGGTCGAACATATCCGAACAAACCACCCCCCGAAAGATTCCTGGGGATTTTTCGATATATTCCAGTTTTAATGGATCTATGAGCAATGAAAAAAAAATTGATGTCGGGGATAAATCTCAGTTGTTTTATTCAAAGAAACTTTTAGATAAAACCCACTATAATTTTTTCTGAAAAACTGAATTTCAACTTTTATGTAGCGAACATATTCTTAATAGATAATATTTTTATTACAAGAAATTGTTTAAAAATAACAATTCCATAAAACATCGATGATATCATAGCACGATATTAATATTCATTTCATTATAAAATAGCTGTCAAATCAAAATTCCATTGAAGTGATACCCGAAACTCCATTCAAATCCATAATTAAAAACGAGAAAATGTGAAATCATTTCCTAATATAAAAGCGAAACAATTTGAAATTAATTATGTGTTTTTAAATGTAAAATTATAAAATTTCTAAATATTAATATTTAAAATAATTTTTTTACTTCCAAAAGTAAATATCATTTAAGGTTTATTTCCAGATTATAATTATTCATAATTTAAAATCATTATTGTTTGTGTACTTGGCAACACTTTAGACTTGTGCGGCGAAGTGTAGTGTACGAACGGTACAGGTGGTAAAATGTTTACAAAAAGAATCTGACGAAGAAATATTTCATAGTGCTTGTGATTAAGTATGATTTACTATTTTTTAACATTATATAGTATATTTAAGTATTATCATGGTACTATTTGACTGAAAATAAATTTTTAACGGTTGACTGTATAATATAGCAAGTGGGTAAGATAAGTACAGTAGTTAAGAGTCTGGTAATCTTTAGTAATTAATCAATTAAAAATGTGATATATTACATGGATTGACTGATAGGCATTTAAATGTTTCTTTATCTATTTTGGTATATTTTTTATATGTAATTTGACCCGCTTTAATAATGGTTAAATACTAAAAACAAAGATAATAAGCAATTAAAATAGGTACAGATAAAGAAAAGTAGGAACTTGATATATAATTCGTCAGTATTTGATTCTAGATAAAACTCTTCTAAAACACGTGGGTTCTATTATTTGTTCTTGAAGAGATAAAGCCTTTCAAACTCGATATGTTATATATGCTTTAGATTCATAAATTTCTATATTATTACTAGATAGTCAGTTTCTGATTTGAGATAAAGATAATTCAACCGAGAAAGAGAAATCTGTAAAGTAAAAGAAGTGATCGAATTTGTGACCAAGTTGATGCTTAAATCACGTTTTTTGATATAACGAAAGTAAGGCAGACGGTTCACTAAAGGTAGGTAGTTTTGGATCGGAACCATTCTGGACTAGGAAGTATTAATATGTTTTTTGTTTTGTACTTTTACGAATATGGCTTTTCGTGAAACTGAACTCTCTATCTTTATTCATACTTGAACTAAATAAAAATGTTGTGAGGTTTTAGGAATAATCAAATTAGTTTTGGGTATTTTAAATTTGTAAAGATATTTTAAAAAATTTGTTTTTATTAGAGTTTGTCATTATTTGTTTTATTAGTAACTTGCAGATATTTGTGGCATTGTCTTGCCAAAAAGTAAGAATACTAAACATTAAAATGAAAACTATATTACAAATTTGGTTATTTTAGCATACAGTTGTTGTGTTTATCGTGAAGTGTCGAGATCAAATTGGGGAAAGAGTTAGCTATCCAGATTTCGTGAAAGTCCTCAGAATCTGAGAGAATAAGTATGAAAGATTTGGTGTGGATTGGACAAAGGGTTTAGGAGTTAATAAGGGATGATTAAATCAGGGGAGGGTAATGTTTTTAGGTTTTGCAATATTTTATATTTTCTTCAGAATCCAAGTTAAGCAAGAATAATTTGGAGCAGATTAGCCAAAAAGCTAAGAACAGAGACACACAAACAATCTATTATTTATTTAAAACTGATGAGGGGCTATTTAGTCCAACAGACTAAGCAGTTCTGCTGAAATATAATGGTACTGAGGAACAATCTAGTCTAACTGTTCTAAGGAATCATCTAGCTTAACAGTTCCAATAGAAGTGGTCTGTTAGATCAGTTCCAACAGTTCTAGTTTCAGAAATGGAAATGGATTTCCACTTCTATAGTCCACAAATATAATATCCTTTATTTGCCACTACTTTTACATATGTTTGTTCATTTTCTTGGTGTTATGATTGATTTTCACAAAAACACACACAAACAAACAAACAACTCAAGAGGGGAACAGAGGTATATTTATGCCAAATCACCTTAGAATTCCTGAGAGTCTTATCCAGACTTGAGTTTAGGTCTTTACAGAAACAGATAATTACTTTAGTTTCTCAATTGTAATTCTGTGCCTCTGCAACAGATGCAGAGGCACAGGACCCAGGACAAAAGGGAGTCCTAAAATGAGGTATCAAAAAAATGATCAGTATTATACAACAGACTCAGTTAACTGGCACCAATAGGAGATTGGTGGATGCTGGATAAATGTAGTTTCTAGTTGCTTGTAGTTACTATTAAAAATAAGCCTAACTCATACTTTATTCCATACTATATTTTACCATAAATTTTTTATTGACTTGATATTAATATTGAAATACAGAAATTAAAAGCAAATCTGATTGGCTGGATCAGATTTATGATGATAGCTGGAAAATGTCATTTGAAAATGCTTCCATTAATGGGCACTTCAGCAAAAGGATGTGCACAATAGTTATCCAGGAGCAACAGAACTTTACAATTCTCTGGTATTCCCTTCTTTCATAATTTTCTTTTAATATTGGGGACAAATGAATAAAGAAACAACTTGGTAAAAATTTCTTTGTCTACCCAATTGTTAAGCTAAACATGTCACAAAACGAAGATGCAGTTTCAAAATCATCTAATTTCTTTTTTCCAACAAATTCATCTTATGGATACTACAACAGATCTCGAATATGATAAGCTAGCCACTTGAAAATGAACACTGACCTTCAATATATATTTTCTCATAAAATTTTTACTTTTTTATGCAACATAGAATCTGAAATATAACCAATCTCAGATCTGTTCAGTAAACACCACTTATATAGGGCCTGGTCAGACACTTCTATTTTTGTAAAAATGGTATAAAAATTTAAATCTTAGACTTTTACTCTCTAACAAAGATAAAAGGTTTGTGCTGTGCAAAAATGATGATTTCCTATGTAGGCCTAATGACTTTCTTCTATGATTAGGATTGGTTTTGCTAACAAGATCCAACTCCAGCAGTTTTGAGAAAAGCAAAGAAGGTTATCACTATGCCAGGAATAATGTCATCATTGTCTGGACCCCTAGATCCACCAGCCAATGTAGCACATCCCAGATTGTTTTTTTGAAGTAAAGACACAAATCTGCTTGGCCCCTCATCCTTTGGTGAACAAATGTTTTTATACAACCAATTTTTAGAAGAGGCTCTTGCTAAGAAAATTACTGCACTAGTTTGTAGCTCCAATCTTGTTGTTTTTTTCTGCTCTTGAGGTGAAGTCTCTTATAACTAGTATTATTGGAGCTACTCTTCCAGATTTGTACAATTTTTACAAAATAGATGTGGTCTCCCCGTTTTGAGGTGATCATGCTTACAAACATTATTGATTGAGAATGGGTATTCCAATCACAAATACTGGGCTTAAGGGAGGCTCTTTTATTAATTACTGAAAATAATTATTTCTGTTTCAATGGTAGTTTTTATTTGCAAAAACTGGGAATGCCTATGGACTTGCCTCTTTTGGCTATTTTAGCTAAGTTAATTATGAGATCCATAGAATTCAGGATTTAGTCCCCACTCTCTATACATTACCCCCTTCTATATCTGTAGTATGTGGATGATGTGCTGCTAGCATCGGATGGCTTGGAGGGTAAGTTACTACAACTTATATTTTTGGTATATGAAGTGTATGATGCTTCTCACACTTAGTCTCTGACTTAACATAAAACTCCTTTATCTTGTGAGACTGAGNTAATGGTGATTTGAAAAAATAAAGCACTCTCTGCAAACTATTTTTGAGTTCTTTATAATTAAAATGTTGATTTGTGTAACAGTAAAAATATAAATTATTGCATGAAATATCATTTCTGAAAATATCAATTAGTAAAATTTCTATTCCAGTATGTTTACACATGGTGAGTTGGTAGGAGTGGGAGACATATTATGATGTGTGAAGCATGGGCTTACAGCTTGTTATGCCATGTTTAAACTTACATTTCCTCTAGAAATTGATTTTATTTTAACTTTTGTTTAAAGTGTTATTTCTTTGATTTTTTTTGCCATTGATTAAGTTCTGGTTAACAGAATCTACTGTGTTTTCATTTTGAAATTTTAAATTTTGCCACTATGGGAGTTGATTCCATAACATTTTTGGTTAGAGTTAAAAATTAACTGACCATTTCTATGGAATTTTCCTCCCAAAAAGAGGGATCAAAAAGTATAGTTTTGCACAGGACACGTGAAAAATTAGTCATGACACTGATTATAGCATTTCTATTCTCTGTTGCTAACAGTTATTACATCAAATGCCATCCTCAGCAGACATTTTTAGATCTGTATCTTCAGACCATAGTTTTTTCTACAAATTTTGCAGAATTGNAGTTAAAAATTAACTGACCATTTCTATGGAATTTTCCTCCAAAAAAGAGGGATAAAAAAATATAGTTTTGCACAGGACACGTGAAAAATTAGTCATGACACTGATTATAGCATTTCTATTCTCTGTTGCTAACAGTTATTACATCAAATGCCATCCTCAGCAGACATTTTTAGATCTGTATCTTCAGACCATAGTTTTTTCTACAAATTTTGCAGAATTGTCTCCTTCACATTGTTCCATGCCAAGTAAACTATGTCCTTTATGTTGAATTGTTTCTGAAATTCAACAACTTTGCAATAGCTGTTTACTAGTTTCTGAAGAAAATACTTCCTGTATATCACTTTAAAATTCTGTATGGTGTCCTGATCCATAGCTTGTATCAAAGACATCACAGTTGCAGGAAAGTATGTTGCAGAAATGTTCCCATAACAGTTTTCAATCAGGAAAATAGCTTTGCTATCTTTGGTAGCCCTCCTTTTCAAAATTTTCTTTAACAGCAGGAACAAAGTGATGGAAGAACCAGTTCTTGAAAGTAGCTGCTGACATCCAACTGTTAGTTTGTATGTTGTACACCCCCGTAATACCCCGAACTTACGTGATGGGTGGGACTGAGCAGTAACCGCGTAAGTCGGGGTATAATTTCACATATAATACATACAAATAATTTTTAATTGGGCCAGAGACTAAAGAAAACAATAATTTAGAAAAAAATGTTTAATAAAATCTTAGATTATACATATGTATAACAAATTAGGCCTATATTATTTTACAATTTTTCACATTTACTTGATTATTATGCCATAATTTTAACATTGTTTCCATTTCAACGATAATACTGTGACGTTTATGAATGATGCTTAAATTTAAAGATTGAGCATATTTCACTGCTTCGAGAATTTTTTCTTTGCCTTTTATAATTGTTCTGACCAACAATTCCGGTAGATCAAACTTCTTTGCCAATTCACAAATTTTCATTTTTATATCAAAGTCTTTAATAATGGATACGTTCGTAAAGTCAAACGAGTTAAACGCGTTAGTAACGAATTGTTCGAAAAGTCTAACGAAATAGGAATAAAGATGACGTCATTCTCATTTAACTCGTTCGACTTTACGAACATACCCAATGTTAATTTTACATTCCAAAGATAAAGTTTTTCTTTTCTTGTTTGATGCAGAAGAATCAGTTCTACATCGTTTGGATGACATAGTACAGTCTCTCAAGTCTCCGTAGATATAACAAACACAAAATAAATTGTAGCTATGTGTCGATTCCGCGCAACGCATACGAACATGTAAGCTGAACAATAGTGTGGGGGGAGTGAGTAATCAAGAGTTGCGTGGCGCTCAAACAAAAGACGAATCGATGAGATTTGAAAATCGCATAACTCCGGGTTCACATAAGTCGGGGTAGTGTAAGTCGAGGTGTCACTGTATATGACTGGTAGATTTGTCATGTTTTTAAAGGTCTTTGGGTTTTTTGATTTTTCAATCACAAGTATCAGTATCTTATGTGTTCCAGAAGCATTTCACATATACAAGTACAGTGATTCAATTTTAAATCCATGAGTAACCTTTTCATCACCACCAACAAGTGTAGAATTTCGCAAACACTACCACAAAAGTCTGGTTTCATCCACATTTTAAAGCTGAGATGGTGACAAGCTGTTTTCTTCCACTAAAGTTTCAAACAGCATGTATTTTTCTGTGGCAGCATAATCCGCATAAAGTTGTTCACCACTTACGTCCAATTTACGAATTTCATGTCTGTGTTTGAAATTGCTTAGCCATCTGTCAGAAAACACACATGGTTCTGTGATGTTCAATTCTTTCTGAGATTCCTTGGCTTTTTCAACAAGCATGGGTCCATTCACTGGTTTTCCTTCTGAAGACTTCACACTAAACCATTTGAATAAAATAGCATCCAACTGTACCATTTTTGGTTTCCATAATCTTTTATGAAACATCCTTCATTGTGCTTAGTTGTTGCTTTACTTTTGGCAACAAAGGCTTCTAACTTCCCTTTTATTGTTCCTTATATTGTAGAGAGTGGAAGATCCAATGTTAACTTGGGTCATAATAATGTTTCAATTTACTCCCTTTGTCAGAAGTAATTTCTGTTTGATGCTTAACATAACTTGCTTTTTTTTGTTCTTTTGGTGTCATTGATACTCTTGTTGTTTTTTGGTACCATGACCACACTAACACAGTGAACTGACACTTTTCTTCATAAAATCTCTGAAAGAACTACAAGGCAAACTGAAATACAAAAGAGAAATTGAGGTCTTCTTGGAATTGAAGGAGTTGACAAACTGAGAGTATGTCACAGAACAATAACATGATTATAGTGATCCTTCTGGATATGTAGCAAAGCTGCATGTTCAAGATTAAACATTCTGGACTCCTGCTGTCATCTGCTTTTAACACTTCAAACAGAGCCAGAAGACACACTGTAGATCTATAACACCTGGAGCTTTTACTTGTCAAATTTTCAAAAACACACTACAAGACTAATGCTACTGGCAGCTCAGAAAAACTTCTTAATTTAAGTATATGTCTGATCAGCAGGATCTGGCATTTGTCATCTCTAAAAAGTACCCATACCCCTTTCCAAGAACTGCACATTTTGAGCACTTTTACATGAATATCTTAACTCAGGACCCACCCAGTCACCAATAATTACCCTTCCCTCAACAATCAGCTTGTCATGCTGACATATTGGATGCTGGGTTAACAGACTTTCACTGTATATATTATAATGGTGATTTGAAAAAATAAAGCACTCTCTGCAAACTATTTTTGAGTTCTTTATAATTAAAATGTTGATTTGTGTAACAGTAAAAATATAAATGATTGCATGAAATATCATTTCTGAAAATATCAATTAGTAAAATTTCTATTGATGATGTAATAAACAAATAATTATTTATAAATTATGATAACATTTAAAAATTTTATTACTTTCTTTCCAGGTAAAATTTTTATCTCATGAAGCATAAATTGATATATTGGGCCAAACTGTTATCTAAATCTTACCATAACTATAATCTATATCAAAATTATTCACTACATTTTCTGAAGAAATCATATTTGAATAATATTTCCTGTAGATATTTACATAAAATGAAGCTTTCCACTCCATTATTTCAAACTCTACTAACACCAGAAGTTAAAGAACTTGCAAGTATATTTCAACGTTATGGCTATGAATTACGCATTGCAGGAGGAGCAGTCAGAGATTTACTTATGAACAAACAACCACTAGATATTGATTTTGCATCAACAGCTACTCCTCAACAAATGAAAGAGATGTTCACTGCAGAAAGTAAGATTATCTGTGTTATAAATTTAGTGTTTATATATCACATTTTTACTTTTCTTTTCCAACTGTTATATTTATTAGAGGGAATGTATGATGATCAGTCAAAAATGACCATCCTAGATTTTTACATTTTTGGACTTGAGATCTTGAAACATTGAGAAATGCAGAAAAGTTGGGTGTTTTGTGTGTATGGGGAGCATGATTTTGTTTATCTACTTTAAGGTTTAATAACTCCTGTGTCTTTTTATCAAAAACTAGCAAAGAATGCCCACAGTTTCCTAGAAATGCAGGGAGGAGATTGGGTTGTCCTCATTATACAGTAGCATATGTCTCCCACAGGATGGCAGAGAGTAACTATTCGAAATTTGATGCAAATCAGTCAAAAGGTTTGGCAGTTTGTGTGGGATGAAATCAGAGAGGAGTGAAGGATCCTAGTTTTATGGGGTAGTCCATGTTTCCCCACATGATACCAGAGATCAGTTGCCAACCTAGCAATTATGCTGTCCTGGCAAGATAGTTATTTGTTGCTCTTTCTCACACATTTAATTACTTAATTATTTCCAAAAACTAAAATGATTTATTATCTGAAATTAAGAATGTTTTATTAATTTTATTTTATTTTGCCTATTTTGCTACCCCTAGCAATCTGCCTCCTCGGGCAGCAAGCCCACCTTGCCCACCCCTGTTTTGGCCACTGCCATAGAGTTATTATGCAGAATTTGATCTAAATCAGTCAAAGGGTTTGGGAGTAGGGAAGATGAAATCAGCAGGAAGGAGTGAGGGATCTAAGTGTTAAGGTAGCTTATGTACTATACAGTACATCAGAAAGTAATAAGCTTCCAATGGTCCCTTGACATGGATGTATTTTGTGATAATTGCAACTTTTTTTAGGCATTTTATTGTTGATAAGACTCACTCATACATGTGTACAACTTAAAAGTAACTGAAAAAACTCACTTTATGTAGGTAGATATCTGATAATATAAGACTAATTCTTATTTGTAAATAATAATTATTTACAATTATTTACATTTACAATCCTACTGTACAATTATTGTATAGTGGGATTTAATACTAGGACAATGAACACACAAAAATGCTATTGGCCTACTTACAAAAGTTTAGTTTCATGTAAAGGAAGTAAATTCACTCTTCACAGTTGTGAGTATCTGATAGCATAAGAGTATTATTATAAGAAATGAATGCCTAAGAAAATGTAAACAATGCATATATACAACTACCCAAAACTGCACAAATCGAAACCAAAAATATACAATAATAAGTTTTAAAAAGTCCACCAAGTGGTGAAGGAGATTGACCTTGAACAGAGCAGATGAATGGCAATGCAAGACAAATATAGTGGTAAAGACATTGTTCTTGTGCATTTTCCTTTTTTAATATGATAATAGTATATAGCCTATGTTCATCTGGAAGGAATAAGCTTTCCAATAGAATAAAATTTTAAAAATTGGTTCAGTAGATTCTGAGATTATCTGTAGCAAACAAACAAACACTCTTGCTTTATATATTAGTATAGATTTCTGAAATTTTGTAGGGAGGTTTATGTATTGGGGTCTAATGCAATTAAATTTTGTGGTTTTAAAGGTCGGGGTGAGGTATCATATCTTAATTGAGGATTTGACTTTATGAAGATGTTACTTTTATTAGCATTTATAATTTTTTTATAAAACTTGTCTCTACTTCAAAATTAAGCATTTTGCCATTTTATAATAATTAATAATATGACAAGTTTTTAAAAATAAAATCTCATAACAGATGGTGCCATAAGCAATTTTAACTCCTTTCCAGAAAAATTATATAACTTGTTGCTTGATTTTTTCTTTTATAAAACTTAAATTTTATAAAAAATTAAAAATTCCATTTTGAATCAGTAGTCTTCGTAAAATCAGATGACTTTTGTTATGCTTTCCCTTTTTTTAAAAACCTGATTATTCTTGACATGTCTCTTTAAAACAGCTGACTTCTGCCATAAATCTCTATGGCAACAAACCAAACAAACAAAAAATAAATAAATAAAATAAAATTTGTTTTTATATTAATTACAAGAATTATTGTAAGAATTTATTAGTAGCATTTGATCTGGGGACACATTCTGAGCTCTTCCAATAACTCAACGAGAGCAATACACGGGACATTCAATAAATCTTAGCGAAATACAGTTAACGAACCTTAGATAAATCACTATTCTCTGCTCCATGTTAAGTAGGTTTTACTACTGGTAGTCAGTTGAGTTGCATCTGGGTTCCATGCAATCGATAGCTGTTACACTTTAACCAATCACAGTTTAGTTAACATTGTATTTTTGCCACATGACTGCTACCTGCCATTTTCCAAGTAAAATATGTGATTTTAGTATTCTGTAGCCAAATTTTTTGTTAAAATGTCATCAAAGAAAGGACAATGCAGCCAGTGAACAACAACTTGTCAGTTTGAGATATTAGTTAAAATACTTCGGCTCTAGCCAGAGTCAGATTTAGGCATTTCGAGGACCTTGAAACTATGAGGTCCCTTAACAATACTACAATTTTAGAAATCAATTTTATAAAAAAGAGAATTAACATAAACATATTAATTTTAATAATACTTTTTAACAATAAAACATTTATTTGCAATATATTATAAAATAAGGTACAATTTAAAAAAAGGAAACACTAAAATTGTCGTTTTCATCATTTTTTTTGTCACAGAAAAGCTACTACAGAGTAAAAGCTTAGATAAGCTACCTATAAAAATCAAATTACTTTTATATTAAAAAGAAATCACTAGAAATGTAATATAAACAATATTGGTTATTAACGTAATTAAATAATACACAAAATAAAAAGTAAAGTATATTTTATTGGTTTGTAAAAAAAAAATTATTACAAAATTTGACTTCAAATTTTTTTTGTAGAAATTTTTGAGCTTCCTTGAAACTTGAGGCTATAAGCTACAGCTTACATAGCTTACTTGTATATCTGGCTCCAGCTCTAGCTTTTCTCTTAATTCATTGCATAAATATAATAGTAATGGCTTTGGAAGATGACAAATTTCTTTAAAGTGTGTAGCATTCGGCCAAAAAGCATTATCTCAAAGATGAAAAACTGAGTTTTGTGATGTCCTATGCTAATTTTTTCTATCTCCAATTGCTTGTGAAGTACAGTAGAACATTGTTTATCCAAATCAATTGGGGACTGGAGTTGTTCGGAAAATTGATTTTTTGGATACCTGATTATGTATGAAAAAATATATTAACCTATCCCATGTTGAAATTTGTTCAAATCCTGGCACGTCCTTAAGTACTCTCTCATAGCCACACCAATGCTGCCAGCTGAAACACACACACCAACAAAAATAGTAATATTGGAGTAGCCCAAGCCATAGCCAAAGATTGCAGTGCCACAGCACTAGCGGAAATTTAAATTTGCCAACTGGAAAGCTTTCGGTTGATCAACATTTGGATAATCGATGCTCTACTGTAATATCATCCTTATCCCTAAAGTTGTCATGTTCTTTTTACTTTTGTTACATTTTTAACGGCATCACAAGAATGATTGATAAGAAGAGCTTAGTTATCGCTATCGGAACCAAAAATGAAATGTATCAAATTAAATGCCAATCACATGGTTTTGATAGAAACTAATTTTTATTGTATTCATTAGTTTAACGATACAATTCAGAATAGGTCCCCTGAATAGGAAGAGATGTAAGCTGAATGCAACAATCATTTTTACAATAATTTTATGTTTGACTCCAAGTACATTCTACCTTTTACTTAAAAGCACATAGCATTTGCTTGATTGTAAAAGCAACAGATTTTATCTTACTAAACTCATGTATATGCTTTTTCTTATACTTCATACTTAAAGCTTTTGCTACTTTTAAGCTTATTCTTGACTTTAATTATACAATCCATTATATTAAATTAAATCTATTAAAATGCTATTTAAGAATTAATTTATTTGCTTCAATATTTTTATTAGATATTCGCATGATAAGTGCAAAAGGAGAATCACATGGGACTATTTCTGTTCGAATAAATGACAAAGAAAACTTTGAAATTACATCATTGAGAATTGATGTAAAAACTGATGGCAGACATGCTGATGTGGTGTTTACAACAGATTGGCAGTTGGATGCTAGTCGGAGAGATCTTACAATTAATTCTATGTTTCTTGGTAAAAATATTTATTGTATTTATATAGTTCTTCATGTTTTCCTATTTTATATAGCTATTTAAAATATACATTTGTTTTAATATATTCATTTTGTATCAGTACTGTAGTTAGAAATGCATTGATTAAAGAACTTTTGAAACTTATAACAATGAAACTTTTTAAATAAGTTACATGTTGATTGATTGTGTAAATTTTCAAACATTACTATAAAATTCCAAAATGTGTCCTTTTTTTTTTTGCATAAGATATTGATTATATTTTTTCTAGGGGACATGTTTTTGGAATTACAAATTGAGAAAATTAGTCTCAATTTTTCAGAACAGTTTTGAAATTATATTCAGAATTTTAGAATTAAAAAAAAAATTAGTTGCCAAAAGTCGAGATGATGACACATTTTCAGAATTTTTTTAAATGTTGGCATTTTTCATAATGACAAAAAAAACATTAAAAAGACTATATAATGTAGAATTTTCATTTTTTTCAAGTACTATATTATATAATAATTATATATATAATAAAACATTATAACAAAATATTTTATGAACTAAATTAATATGATTATTATTATTATTATTATGTTTTGTGAGTTATACTCGGTTCACACCGGTGGCTGTGTACTATGCCAGACCAAAGTCAAGGCATAGCAACCAAAACAAAACTAAAATTAAATGTGTGTGTCAGTGTCTGTATTAAGGAATTTCCTAACAATATGGCATGTATTCAATATAGCGGCCTTCTGTAGTGTGATGTATGTATTTCTACTCAATTGTAATGTTCCCAGGCTTTTGTGTAGCGTGTGTGGTATCACACCTGTACAGGAGAGAACAACAGGTA